TGTGATCTCGACTTTGCAGGATGGACTTCGATGACGAAGACGGTGAAGGCCCCAGTAAATTTTCAAGGTGAGTTTGTTTTATTTTCCTTAGATCCAAAGCAGCCAGTAGCTGGCAGTCACCGTACGGAATTACACGGGGTATAATGTCTGTCGTCGTTGAAAAAGCCGCTGTCCGCACTCTGACCTTCTCACTGGTCCCTCGCTCTGTGGCCGTTTGTCAGCCAGCCGTTAGCGACCTGCCGCCTCCCAGCCTGGGTGACCAGAAGTTAAGTAGCAAGTTCTTAACTCTGCTTTGTAAGTGAAACAGGGGCTGCCAGTGTGAATGGACCCCTTTCTAGAAGACAGCCCTGGGGTTCCGGTTGAGAAAAACCACCAGAGCAAGTCCCTTTTCTCTACCGTGGAAAATAAAGAGAAGTACGAGAGCCCTGGGTGGCCTCGCCCTGCAGGCAGGGTGCAGACCTGGGTTTAGCTGCTGAGAGCTGCGACCCTCGCTGGCCACGTGGCGGCGCCACTGGCTGTGCTCCGTGGGTGTCCCGAGTGCAGACGACCTCGCAGACAGGGCTCCAGATCACGGGCGTCGGGTGTCACGTATGTTACATACGTGTAGGATAAGGCAGGCCCAGCCCTACACTCTTGCTATTGTTGTTCACTTGGTTTAAGGTGTGGTAGGAAGTTTGGCAGAGCTGAGCGGAAGGCACAGATCACTCCGTCCTTCTTAGCAGAGTTCCCATCTGTCCCCAGCCTGTCCCCTGCCCTGGCATCCTCCCGCCAGCCGAGCCCCAGCCCCCCTAGGCCTTGGTGGCTGCTGCACTTGAAAACGGGCCACAGGCGACGGGCACTTTTCTCCTGTGTCCGTGGTCCGCGGCCTGGACCGACAGCCTCCGTGGCTTTGGAACGGTGTTTAGGGGAACAGTGGCCGTGTCCAGCCCGGGGCCCTCAGTGCCATGTCCGCTTCCTCGTAGCAGCTGGTTTTGGTCGCGGCTCCTTTTACAGCCGCGCCGTGGTCGCGAAGGAAGCGCACCTTCCCGCCGGGCCGAGAGGAACGTGCATCTCGTCGCTGCCCGGGGATTGCCAGGGCCTCCAGGTCGGAGGAGACTTGTCATCCTAGTGCGTCCTCCCCGAGAACGCCTCCCTCCGTCCCATCCTCCACCTTCAGCTTTGGGGGAGACGGGAGAGGAGACAGAGACGTTTTGACAGTTACCGACTTTGGAGTTTCCGACCACAATAAGTGTCAACACCAGAAGTCTGTGTTGTTTTCCCTCGTGCAGACAGAACCAGCCTGGGCGTCCACCCATTTCTTGGGGTACGTTTTGACAGCGGGGAGTGCTCTGCCCCTGACATGCGGCCAGCCTGGGAGACGAGGACACGTATGTCCCGTCCCATTCGCTCTCGCCATACACGGCTCCCTGCGCGAGGAAACAGTGACTTTGACTCCTCTGTGCCAGAGTCCCC